TCGTCATTTTTGGGACATAAATGATTACAAAGAACCAGAGTTGTCCGATCCGTGGAAGTTATGCATACCAAAACCGCAAAGAGACCGCGTTCTGAAAGAAAACCATGATGCGCCGACCGCAGGCCATGCCGGAATCGCCAAAACTATTACCCGCATAGCTAGAGAATATTATTGGCCTGGAATGTTCCGAGACATTACCAAATATGTCCGAAGTTGTTTGCAATGCCAGAAATACAAACCGTCCCAACAGCAGACGCCGGGGAAGATGAACCCCTCACCGAACCGTCAACCTTGGGAGGTTGTTAGCACAGATCTTGTTGGACCGCTACCCCGGAGTAAAAGGGGGAATGCATATATCGTCATGTTTATGGACAGATTTACCAAGTGGGTGCAATGTAAGGCTATTCGAACTGCCACCGCAAAGAGCGTGACCACCGTTTTCTATGACGACATCGTCACAACTTTTGGATGTCCAAAAGAAGTCATAACCGATAATGGCACACAATATACAAGCAAACTCTTTGAATCCGTTCTAAAAGAGTTAGGAATCCGTCATCGATGTACGCCGGCTTACACACCGCAAGCTAACCCCGTAGAGCGAGCAAACCGAACCATAAAGACAATGATAGCACAGTTTTGCGAGGACAATCATCAAGATTGGGATCTCCATTTGTCCGATTTAAAATTTGCAATTAACACATCCCGTCACGAATCAATTGGGTTTTCTCCAGCATTCTTAAATTTTGGGAGGGAGTTAGTCATCCCCAAATCCCTACGACAAGAAGTTGAGACCAGTAACCAATCCGCCGAAACCGAACCGCTTGATGTGGAAAGTCCCGAAAATTTTGTCAAGAGACTAGGAAAACTCAAAGAGTGTTTTGACCTAGCCCGTCTCAACTTGTCCCGAGCTTTTACCTCGCAGGCTCATTACTACAATCTACGTCGACGAGACTGGAGGTGCACTATTGGTGATCTAGTGATGAAGCGAGAACATACGTTGTCATCAGCCGTGGATCATGTGGCCGCCAAATTAGCTCCGAAATACTCCGGTCCGTACACCGTTGTCAAAGTCGTGTCTCCCGTCGTCTACAACCTCAAAGATGCTGCAGGAAAGAGACTGAATCAGGTGCACATAAAAGACCTGAAACCGGCCGTCGAGTCAGATTAGACACGAACCTCACCCACCGTCACCGCCCCTGTACCGTCTGGAAGGTACCGATCAATTGGAGTACAGGTAGACCTACAACCCCGATGCCGTACTGTCGGCATTCAATGTTTCCGACAATGGTAGTTCCGAGTCCGACGATATGGTATGGTATGGAGATGGTATGGTTTTGACTCCGGAACAGAAGAAAGAAGATTATATTTTGACTTTGTAAATTTTATTAGTTTTGTAATGAATAGGTAGGCGGATAAAGGAAAAATAAAGGCAAACGATGTTCACCTTTATTTTTCTTTCCGAAGTGAGGGGGGGATGTAATGAAGTCAATTTTCATTATTATTATTATTAATTAATTCCGGGTATTAATTTCGATTTTCAATTAATTTCAACTTCGTGGGTATGCCCTGTATATCATCAGTTTTATCGCTGTTCAAACCATCGTCGAGGTACTATGCCTGCGCGCGTTTTAATGGTGGGATTTTCTGATGTAGTAGGGCATGCGACGACTAAACGTGGTCCGAGATTGAATTGAAATTTTTAGTTCCTAAAATACCGATTTATCGAACAGACTTGCTTTGACACCGTTAAATCTAATAGTCGATTAAACGCTAAATACCTACGATACCGAAAATTTATTTCACGCCGCGAGGTAAAGTTTGTTGATAGTTTTTTTTTTGATAATTTCTTTCGTGCCCGAGACTTTAAGCCGTGCTATTTGAAACCGATTTAATTTTATTTATTCCGTGTTGAGTTAGGATTTCATTTGTTTTGATTTAAAAATACTTTAATTTATTCTTGTTAGAATACACCGTTCTTAATAAATTTCATTTTAGTTTATTTAAAGTTTTGAGCGTTAAACAATTTATTTTTTTTTATTTCAATCGTAGATATAGTCGTATAGTTAATTTTTCCTACTACTGGAAATTTCCGTTAATAAATAATACATTTCATTTTAGTTTATTTAAAGTTATGACCGTTAAACAATTTATTTTACATTCGATTGTAAATATAGTCGTATAGTTAATTTTTCCTACTACTGGAAATTTCCGTAAATAATAAATTTCATTTTAGTTTATTTAAAGTTTTGAGTGTTAAACAATTTAATTTTTTATTCAATCGTAGATATAGTCGTATAGTTAATTTTTCCTACTACTGGAAATTTCCGTTAATAAATAATACATTTCATTTTAGTTTATTTAAAGTTTTGACCGTTAAACAATTTATTTTACATTCGATTGTAAACATAGTCGTATAGTTAATTTTTCCTACTACTGGAAATTTATGTGAATAAATTATACATTTCATTTTAGTTTATTTGAAGGCTTAACCGTTAATTAGTTTATTTTTCATTTAATCGTAAATATAGTCTTATAGTCAATTTTTCCTACTGCAAGAAATTTTCGTGAACAAATAATACAGTTTATTAAAAACATTATCCAATAAATAATTAATTGGAACTGTTTGGGAATTGCCTAATGTTTTGATTGGTTATATTTGTAGAATTGCGACGAGGCATTTTCTTTTGTTTTATTCTCCGAACTGCAAATTTTAAGAAAATTTAAATAGCATCAATCCCAGTTTGAAGCGGCTCGTGATTACGATCGCTTCATCCAGAGATAAGGTGTTATCCCGGCTATTAGTTCATTCTATATCTAAAAATTCATTTGCGTTAGGTCTCCGTTATTTCAACAGAACTAAAATAGTATCATTCCCCTGTCTGAAGCGGCTCGTGATTACGATCGTCTCATTCAGAGATAATGTGCTATTCCGGTTATTAGTTTATTTTCCGTCTGAAACCCTCATTTGCGTTAGTCTCCGTTATTGTAAGTGAACTCAAATAGTATCATTCCCCTGTCTGAAGCGGCTCGTGATTACGATCGCCTCATTCAGAGATAGTGTGCTATCCCGGTTATTAAATTTGTTTTATGTAAAACTCCGTTATTCAATTGACATTAAATAGTATCATTCCCCAGTTTGAAGCGGCTCGTGATTACGATCGGTTCACTCAGGGATAATGTACTATCCCGGTTGTTAGTTGGTTTTACTTTCCAACCACTAGTGAGTAAACCTCTTATAGGGTCCCGGTTTCAGCTCTGGAATTAGTATTATCCCGAACCTGTCTCCTCGCATTCTCTGCAACCAATATTATATTTTGTTTTACTGAAGCATTCAATTATATTTGATTGTAAATACCAATTAGAAAATTAAACAGTTAATTTTTGCTACGACCGAAATAATACTGCCGAAAGAAATAGCAAATTGCATTTCTAACTCAACAACAGAATAAACAATTCAATAATAAAGTTTTACTGTGACCGTGATAATTATAAGTATTGATTTCATTTCTTTTTCTTTACGTCTGATTGAGACTACTCGAAAGTCATTTCCGTCCGTTTTGTTTGTTTATTTTTGTTCAGGGTTTGTACATATTACCGTGAGGGTGGGCGTTGAAATATTTAATTTATTTTTTTTATTGTAAATAGTTAACCACAATATATGTGTCAATGTTAACCTGCCGTATTACTGGTTGATAATTCCTAAATTTATTTCCCCCTTATATTTCAGCTAGTGATTAATTCTGTACCAGCCCAAGCAACGATTAAAGCCCGTTACTTGTGGCATACTTATTACCTGTGTCTAAGTAACCTTTGACCCCTGGAATTTTTCATCTCCATCTGTAGCTACCCGAGTACTTTCGACGCCGTTTCGAGAGTTTGTGGAGTAAACCATTACCAAAAATCTGGCGCTCGAGAACCGCCCGTAACCAGCGTCATTCGTAAGGAACCGTTTTCTCTGTGGCGAGAAAACCCCTTACAATATTTTCTACTCTTCTCTCTATTACACTTCACATTTAAATTCTTTTACATGAAATACTAAATGTTCAATGTTTGTACAAGAAAATTTATATAATCAAGTTCATCGTTATTATTTTATATTAGTGATGGGACTTTTCATGAAAATTAATTTTTGGACTAGTCCGACGGACATGTCCGGAAAAGTAGTGAAAAGTAATGAAAAATAGTCGACCTTGAGAATAGAAGACACACAGTTAAATCTCCATATGGATGTTTTTTCAAAACCACAATATTTGCATTTTTATTTTCGTTTTTTTTTTGACAAATCATTTAAAATACTTCCAACCTTTGTATTTTTTAGTAATGTTTCTATTAGTTTATTTCAATAAGATATGAAATGAAAATTCGAAAAAATCTGTAAACCACATAAAAGTCAGTAATCATTTGTCATTTCTTCTTTTTTTAAACTATATTTTTCTTTTGTTTGTAAGAAATTCAGACAAATTAGTCAATTTAATTTCGCGCATGCGCAATACACTTTTCCACTTTTTAAAAGTGTGTTTGGGCCCCGATGAATGACATTTCACAGGTGTTTCTACACTTTTTTAAAATATGGCACCAAAAACTACATAGTACATAAAAAATCCACCAGATATCGGTAAAAGGAGAAGTACCTCAAATGAAAGCAAATAGTGACTACTTTATATACAGAACCAAACCAAAAATATTCGTAAAAAACATGAAGTAGTTATTTACAATATTATGACAGATGATAATATCTGACATCGTTACGATGGCTACATGTTTGGTGTATGGAAACAAATACGTGTTACCAACTTTGTTTTTACGTCACCACTATCACGGTCTATTTCAGCGGTCTATAATCAAAAATTAAAAATGTGATTTAATAATTATTTTATATAAATAAAAATTCCCTTGGTGTATTTGGTCATTAATTTATGAACGAACACACCAAGAAAATTTTTATTTATATAAAATTCTGCTACGGTTATTCAAATTAATAATTATTATTTCCATTTTTGGTTTTAGCAAAATTTATGAAAAAGAAGGTTGGAAATCATTCTTTAAAGGAGGAGCTTGCAGAATAATGGTTATAGCTCCTTTATACGGAATAAGCCAAGTAGTATATTATCTCGGAATTGCAGAATATTTGTTAGGAATGCAAAAACATACATAATTTTATTAACTTATAGAATTAAATTCTTATTCAAAAAGTGTTTTATTGCTTTTCTATGAATATATTAAAGCTCTGGAAACATTATAAATACATGGACGAGTCACATTTGTATACGAATAAACAGCATTAGAAAAGTTTATGTAACTAGTTGATAAGGTCAAAATAATACTAACAGCTACGATACAAATGCATAAAATAACCTCAAAAGACGATTTGAATCTGGTAATAACGAAATGTGAACTTTCCGTAAACTCGTCCTCAAACTTCCTTTCAATATATCTTGATACTCTTGGAGAATTAGAATCTTTGGTGAAAATTATGTTTGTAAAAGAAGCTAAAGCTAGTTGTTCTATATACGTTCTCCTCATTTTTCTTATTTTTATAAAAATTAGTGGCGGTAATATGAATACCAAAGGTCCAGTAAGGGTTCCTCCTATTATTGACATGACAAGATCGAACCTTGGAACTGACTCTGCTATAACTATGGCCAGAACTGTCAAGCTGGTTCGCAGAACACATCTTTTCGAATTGAAATCTAAAAAAAAAAAAAAATAATTAACAAAATGGGATAATATAAAATAAAAAGATATAAGTAGGGAAAATTGGGGATTTTTTATTTCCATGTTTTCCAAAAATTGCATTTAGTTTTCAGACCTCAACCATGATAATACCTCTAGAAATTCCCATGCAATCCTCCATCTGCTGGTACAGAGCGCTGTTACTAACTGCTGACGTCAAACATAGCTGTATAGCTACTAAAGCAGCTGTTATATGCAAAGGAAATGTCGTTGGTAAAGTTTCTAATATGCTAGGCTGATCGAGAAGTCCCCACTTCAAGTATGCAATGAGTGTGGTTATTCCAAACATGATCAAAATTACTAAAAACAAAAAAACATAAATATTAATTTCTTAAGCAAAAATATAGTCAAATTTTCATTCATAATACGAACAAGGATATACCATATTCCATATCTAAAGCCAACTCTGGCCTTGAATTAATTTAAAATTACAGAGTTGTTCAATCGTGATATAAAAGGTATTTTCTGTGTTTACATATTTTCAACTAAGTCAAAATCCTTCTAAACAAGTAACCAAAATTTTTTGTCTCCAATTTTTATGAGAATTTAAGGCACAAGCCAAAGGAATTTAGGAGGGTAACCTGTTAATTTTCATCTAAATCCATGAAAAATTATTTTCGTTTCTCTCAGCTAATAATTTTTAAATCGCCCTGTAGATTTTACCAAGTGTTAAACAAACGTGTTCGATTTGATTGCATTTGATGACTCACATTTATAATAAATGTTTCGTTCTAAATAATTTTAAAATGTGGAGCTTATAAATTCTTATCTTGAGGTAACATATTTTTCGAACTATAATAGAAGTTTGGATTAACTAAAAAATTAACTATTTCTTACTTGAAAATCCTCCTATTATTGCTTTAGATAAATTCGATTTTTCGAGCATATCGACTTGTATAGTTAAAATAGAAGGATGTATATCAAATTGGAAAGCAATTATGCCGTATGCTTTTAAAACATTCTTCCATTGTGGCATAATCTCCTTTTGTAAAGGTGTTTCTTGTGAGTTACTTTCTTTTTCACTAAACAGAAGGCACCCATTTATCAATAGAAAAACTGTTGTAACTATTCCAACTGACAATGAACACAAAAACCTAAAAAAAAGAATGGAAATTTCCTAAATGTCTTTTTAATAATTTTTTTATGAGAGTGAATTATTAAATAGTGTGTTAAATTAACAACAAATTTTTTTTTTATGTTCAGCGATAATTCTTTAACACGGTGTCCGATTTTAATGATTCTTTTTTTGTTAGAAAGGGGGTACTTCAGGGGTGGTCCCATATAGAGTTGGTCAAAATCTAATAATTGGGTTCATGAGAAAATCCTCAAACTCTTCATTATTTATGTATGTTTAGCGATAATGCTTTACCTCAGGGGTGGTCCCATATAAATTTGATTAAGATGTGGTGATCGCATCTGCACGTTTTTGAAGTCGTAATTTTTAATTTCTAATACTTGTTTTTTCTTAAGAACAAACACCTTGAAAATTTATATTTCCTTTTGAGCCTCTATTGATAGTCCGATTTATATGAAATTTTTAGGAAATAATAATAATACTCTCCCTAATTCACCCCCTTACGAGTGAATTTCAACCCCTGAAGTCAACTGAACGACTTGTGTAGGGGAAGGGACGGCTATTATTATTATTATTTGCCGTGGCGCTCCGGGGCGACTTAAAGATGATTGATGGTGCCATTTGACTTACAGGTGAGGAAAACCCGGAAAACCTCACTCACCATCATCGAGACGGTAATGTATGGCGAATTTTTTTAATCTGCATGTCATATCAACAGAAATTGAATTTCTATTAATACGCCACACATCAAATCCTAAACCGAACCATGCAATTTAATTAAAAATCCACATGGTCTGGTCTGGGATTCGAAACACAGCAGTCTCAGACTCATAAACTTGCCTATAAATGAATATAAGCGCGATAGACCGCTACACCACCGTCCCGAATACACCACCGTCCCGAATACACCACCGTCCCGAATACTAACAAAACTTAGGGTAGAGAAACTTTGAATTTTTTTGTAAACCTTCGAAAAGTATTTATTTTGAAAATTTTTAAAGGGAATTAAAAAAATTTACGAGCCAGTCTGTATTAAATCTAAGAAAACTTGCTGCTTCTTGTTTTATTAAATATCTAGAAGTTTTTAAATAAGAGGATTTCCCACCTTTTTTTCACAAACATCTCTGTAGAGTGCTGCCTTATCGTTGCACAAATTTAAAGGTCTCAATATTCTCTAGGCACATAATCTAAAGCTGAGGTCTCAATACATAATGTTTGGTAGTGAAGTATCTCATATAATCGTTGCAAGCTCTTGTGTCCCTCAGGGCTCCAATTTAGGCCCTCTACTTTTTTTTTAATATTTGTCAATGATCTCCCTCTACGTATTACATCAGACTGCCTGATGTATGCAGATGATCTAAAAGTTTTTAAAAAATCCCCACCCTTAATGATTATCTAGACCTTCAAAATGACAGACTTAATTTCGGATTGATTATTAGAAAATAAATTACTCTTTAATCTTTCCAAATGCAAGGTAATTCATTCAGCGAAACTCGTAATCCTCAAAATTTTATCTACATAATGCAAGGATCAGCACTAGAGGAAAGTATCAAAAATGACCGATTTGGGAATAGTTTTTCAAAATAAGCATATCAATAATATTACCAAATAACGTACATTCCGAAGACATCTCTTGCGGTATTTTTGATGTAGCTATAAGTACATACAGAAGGGAACTTTCAAAAATTATTAACATGATTTTGTAGGATATTCGTGGCTTTCGTCTGGGGTTTGCTCTGATTATTTTAGCATCTCTAGTTATTTCAGCATTTTTCTTTTTCTTTAAACTTTGATAAAAACATTTTAGTAGCGATGTTTGTTTAATATAAACAAAATTAAGTGTATATTATATATTTTTGTTTATTTATTTTTTTGTTAATAATATTATAGAAACATATAATTAGGCTAATGCCTGTTTGTTTCTGAAAATAAATAAATAATATCGCGATGTATTCCAAGTCGCAAATAAATACAATTTTATATTAGAAAATCCTTAAAAAAATGGCCTCTCTCGTCTCGTAGGGCAAGAGAAAGCCGTTCTCTCTCTCGACGAGGAGGCATTTCTCTCGTTCGAGAGAGCCTTTCTCTCGTCTTCGTCTTGTCTCGTCTCGTTTCTCTCGTGCGATAGAAAAAATATCAAATTCAAATTTAAAAAAGTCGAAAAATGAAAAAAACGGTAAAATTTGTAAGACAAAAACAAAGAATTTTTCAAGTAATTTGCGCATTAGTACCCAAATTTGAAAATAAGAAACACTTAGGTCTCTCTGTCTGTCCGTCTGTCACAGTCGTTTTACAATTGAAATTTGAAGTAATAAGTGGCCCAGATTAGGCGTTAACTAAAAACGAAAATATTTTGTCTTGTAAGACAATTGGGGAGGGGGGCAGTAGTTTAAATTGGAAATTATAATTTTTCTAATGCAATCCTGCGATGTAAAATGAAAGCATTTTGTAGTATGTTTTCAAAATGCAAGAAGATAGAGACATAAATCAAAAACGATGTGAAATTAGAGAAACATTATGATAGTTTTGTTATAATGAGATGCACTTTACTTGAGACGTAAAATAGAGGGCGTTACTATCTTTAAATTTTTTAATGGAAAGTAAAGTCATGTAATATCTCATTTGAAAGATATTATTATATTTACGTCTAAGCACACAGTTTTATTTTTTTTTTGTTTTTACAAAAATTACATTCTTGATTATCCTCATGTGCCGCAATAATCCTAGAAATGTTAGATAATGTTAAAACAGAATTTTTTAAAAACCCTTTTTTGCCAAGAAGTTATGAAAAATTTAATACGTCAAGTGGTTTTTAAATCACCTCTGATATTCTTAATTTATTTATTTATTTTAGTAAATACAAGAAGCGTTTCCTTAGTAATAAACAATAATTGTTAATACGAGAGTTATATAGAATGTAACTTATTAGTAAAGGCCCAGAACAAAGTACCACCTACAAAAAATTGCCATTTGTGCAGTGTTAAATGTTAACTATCCATTGTATACTATTGTAAAACACAGCATTTATAAGGTATTATACCTCCGGTAATGATCCTTTGAGGTTAAAGTGGTAATTAAAAAAAAGAATTTAACCTACTTTATGAATTTATTTAATGTAATTTCTGTAAAAACATAAAAACCTAAATCTGTTTACATGAACGTAAAAATATAGAAAAAATATCTTTCAAATGAGGTATCACATGACCCTACTTTCCATTAGAAAATTTAAAGCTAGTAACTCCCTCTATCTTACGTGTCTCAAGTAAAGTGCATCTTGTTGTAACAAAAATATAATCTCTTGAGTTTTACCTCGTTTTTGTTTTGTCATTATCTTTTTTCATTTAGAAGTTAAAATAGAGGAGGGTACAATGTTCGTCCTCACTGTATATAATACATTCGTTTGTATTACCTTTTCTTTGACAGTTTTTCGAAAAAATGCTTAAACATTTTCAACTTATCTTCAAAAGTAACCTCAGTAAAGCAGAATGGATTAAATATAAGAAATGATTGTATACCTTTTAAATAAATGAAATGAGAAATATTTTTTTTTATAAATCACTATTTATAAAATCCTAATAACACAAGTATTGGTGTAGCGGTCTATCGCGCTTATATTCATTTATAGGCAAGTTTATGGGTCTGAGACTGCTGGGTTTCGAATCCCAGACCAGACCATGTGGATTTTTAATTAAATTGCATGGTTCGGTTTAGGATTTGATGTGTGGCGTATTAATAGAAATTCAATTTCTGTTGATATGACATGCAGATTAAAAAAATTCGCCATACATTACCGTCTCGATGATGGTGAGTGAGGTTTTCCGGGTTTTCCTCACCTGTAAGTCAAATGGCACCATCAATCATCTTTAAGTCGCCCCGGAGCGCCACGGCAAATAATAATAATAGCCGTCCCTTTCCCCTTTCCCCTTTCCTCGTAAGGGGGTGAATTAGGGAGAGTATTATTATTATTATTATTATTATTATTATTATCATTTGTTACCATTTAATATATATAGAATTTTAAATAAGCAAAGAGAAAATTGTTCGAGAGAGCCCGAGAGAGCTCGAGAGAAACGAGAAATTCTCGTCAAGAGCTGACACTCTCGTCTCGAATCTGTTTCGTCTCGCGGCATCACTACAAAAGAGGGATTTAGTGGAGCATATTTTGGACTTAGAGAGGCGTTTTTATGGAATAACACCATTAGATGCTTGTCGTTTTGCTTTTAAATTGGTAGAAAATATGCAGTTAAATCGTCCATTTAACAAAACTGTGAAACTGGCTGCTAGTAGCTGGTAGTGACTGGTAGTCAGGGTTTAAAAAAATTAATCCTGCAACAGGATTTAATAAACCACAAGTCCAGAAGTTCTATGATGTTGGACGATCGGTTTTGGAGGCCAATAATATTTCATCCGACCAGATATACAACATTGATGAAACTGGGATAAATTCGGTACCAGTTCCCAGAAAAATATTAGCACAAAAACGAAAGAAACAAGTAGGGCGGGTAGTGAGCACTGAAAGAGGTTTAATATCACTGGAGTTTGTGGAATTTTAAAATTAAATATTAGGCATGTCCCCTGTGCCCCAGTACTGGGTCCTCTGTACCCCAGTATTAAGGATAACATAGGACCAGCGTAAGCTATCAATAAAACGGCTATAATTTCGTCTTATTATTATTTATATCAAATTTACGGTTGGAAATCGTTAAAGTAATGTACATACCATAATTAATAAGGTTTACTCGTTTTTAATAATGTGTTTTTGAAAAATATACATTAATATTTCTTAAGCAGCCCCCTCCTCCCTTATTAGACGGATTTGATGGATTGAAAACTCTAATTTTTGCCATGCCTGGGTCGTTGCTTCAGCGACCATCTTGAAAAATAGTGTTTTGCAAATATCTCGAAAACAAGTTCTACCATTAAAATATCTTAGAATATTATTAAGTTACTGTTTCTATTGGAAATATAGTTTTCTCAAATCTAGATTAGAGGGCGCTAAAATCAATAGTAACGCAATGAGTAGATCAGTCATATTGCTGAATTCCTTATTAAATTATTTTTTCATTGATATGCTTGGTAATTCCCTAATTAAATTGCATTGATTAGAATGTTGGAGTGGAGGAAACATTTCTTCTTCGAGATTTTCATACCGTATCGAAAGGAATATCTAGATATTTTTATAAATATATTAATTTTGGATATTTTAACTCGCGGCTATGCTATTTTGTAACTTACTTCATATCTTTGGGACTACCCATCCAAAGTATCGGACATAGTAAGGTTCCCACCATTATAATCCAGAAGCAGTAGGATATATCAACGGATCCCTCACTTGCCCTTAGACCAAGAAGTTGCAGGTTCTGTGAAGCTAATGACTTTTTAAAATTTTAAAAATGCGTTACAATTAATTGCTTGTATTACAATACAGGGTGTCCCACTATAAAGTAACACATTTTAACAGATTATAACTCGAGAATGGAAAAAGGTATTGACGTGCAGTTTTCGCTAAACTTCTTACATTTGCTTCAAGCTTTTGTTAACATAGTTGCCAAATGTATATTTTTTCCCTAAACTGTCGGAAAAAATTTGCCTTTTTTTTATTTTAAGCCAAAATATCGGTGTACTTTGAATAGAACACCCTATATTTTGTCATACCATCTGAAAGTCCCTTTCTTTTACCTTTTCAAAAATGTATAGATTGTGATTATTTATTAAAGGTTTGGTGGAAATAGTTTTTTATGAATCTACATCAAAAACATGTAATTGTAAGATTGTTGGAATTTTCAATTAAAGTTTATTCATTGTTTATAAATTATAATGGGTGTTTTTTCTGATTTACTTCAAATAAAAATTATTTGATTATCTTAAGATCAATTGCGCCCTTTTTCCAAAGCCGCCTGACATATTAGACATCCTTTTAACAAGATGGCTTTGAAAAAAATATAACTGACGGTAAGAAACGTCAAATAATTTATATGAAGTAAATCAAGAACGAACACACTCAAATTTATTAATCGGCAACGTAAAAAATGCCATTTTTTTCGACAATTTCGGGAAAAATATATATATTTGGCAACTATGTCGACAAAAAGTTAAAGCAAATATAAGAAGTTTAGCGAAAACTACACGGCGATCTTTTTCATTTTTAAGTTTTAAACTGGTAAAAATGTGTTTTTTTATAGTAATACATATACACATTTAAAAAAAAAATGGGTGCACCCTGTCAAGAATGTAACAAAAATATAATTTTTGCAAATAAAAATAAGTTAAATTACATTTATTTTGTAAAAATATTAAAAAATTTGATATATAAAAAATAATATTTTGTAAGTACCTATACTTTCAACATATTAAAAATTGGAAGTTGATAGAGTTAAATAAATTTCTTACCGACAATTAAATTTGGTATTCCTCCTCCAAAAACTGTTAAATCCAATAAAAACGTTACAAAACTAGATAGTTTTTTTCCAAATGTAATTTCAGCTAATGCTGCATAAGGATAACGATTTTTAGTTTTAATAGAAGGTGAAATTTCTTCTGCTATGATCCAACATCTCCCTAATAAAGCTGCAGTATATATCTGTGTGGAGCAAATCGGAAAGATTATTGCAATTCCATAAAATCCTAGAAAAAATATCAGTTTATTAAAAGAAAACAATGTGCTGACAAAAAAATATTTTCACATACCACAATCCATTATAGTCTTGGGTAAAGTAACCACTGGAAAGACACCAAATACATCCAATATGCAAATAATAGCAAATATTGTAGATAGCCCATTTTTTGTTCTATTTTCATCTAACAAATACGTTCTTTCATTACTTTCCTGCATTTTACTGAATTGTTTCATACCTTCAGAAACCTTTCTAGAGAATAACTATATGAGAAAGCTGATTTGCGACTAGATTATTGGGTTTCATAGGGTATTATATTTCATTCTACAGGGTGATTGTTTTATATGTAGAAAACAAATTAAAATATAGTACTTTGTGTAAAAGAATCACAATACTTCACAATGTAATCAGTGTCGTTCTTGTAAAATAATAGAAACATTAAAAATACTTGAAAGACACACTAATTTTATCAAAAAGAAGAGGTAAAATTATAAATACAGGGTGTCCCAAATAATAGTGATTGATTTTAAATGTAAATTTGCAGTTATTAATCAAATTAAAAGAAAAAATATTTATTATTTTAAATTGATTTTAATAGCATTTAAAAGAGAAATTCATCATCTTTTTTAAAATTGTATAGTTTGATATCTTTTTTTTAACAACACAGTTTTCAAGCAACACTGCAGTTTTCCTTGTGTAAAAACTGACATTAAATAAAATTAACAAAACATAAAACTTTATTACAAATAACAAAGCAATAATTTATAATGAAAGATGTAAAAGTTATAATAAAAAATGTGCCTACTTTTTTCTTTAATGCACATAGGCAAGCGAAATTTTAAATTTTAAAACCATTTTTCTAACATATTTGGTGTAATATTTTTGATGTTATTTTTAGTTCTACTAAGTTGTTAGGTTTAAGATTGTAGCACTTATCCTTCATTCTTCACATATCCTTGGAGAAAAAATATGATGCAGTTAACTCATAAGATCGCTGTGGCCAATCAGTCAGTACTAAGGATGGGTGATATTTCACGTCACAGTGTTTTTGTCACTGATATAGTTTTGTCACAGTTACAACAGTGACTCGTGACTTTGAAGTCGTGACATGACAACAATTTTACTACTGGAATCCCGTAAGAATTCTTAAAAAATATTGAAGTTAAATATAAAACGGGAGGTCATGCCCTTATACTCTTATGTAGGTGATGCTATTTTATGCTTAATACCTTACTAATCAAAATCGTAAGAGATAAACGACCATTTTGCAAGTCAATAATATCACTTGTCATATATCATTTCCAACAGTTGTATTTTTTCAATAAATATTTCTTTTTAATTTGTTTTGAACCATTAATTGTTTTGACAAAATAGACTTGAAAGAATGATGATTTGATTCGATACCCCTATTTCATTTGTATGTAGTAGAAAACTTTTGCTCATTTGCTATCACTTTTGTTTTGAAATCACGGCTTAAAATCACTGATATTTAAATTTCACAGGAATAAGTATTACTGATACTTGAAAATTACGATATCGCCCATCTCTAATCAGTTCAGCTCGATCTATCCACTTTTGATTAAAAAAATTATTTACTGAATCTCGTGCAATCAATGTAACCTGAGTTGGTGAGCCATCTTGTTGAAAGTAAACAAAAAAAAATTATAGATCTTTATTTTTAAATCCTCGGCGAACTCCAGCTGCTACAATCAACCGTGTATGAAATTAAATTAAGAATAATATTTAAAATTAATATAAAATTAATACAAAAAATATAAAATTAATGCAGATAATGTAAATTCAAGAATAAAGAATAAAATCTAAACAAATAGATGGTGAAAGTAATAGATTAAATGATGATTAGATTAAATAAGGTTTATATGATATATAAGGATACTGTAGTATATCTTTTTGTTCACCGACTCATGATCGAAGCACCGCTGACGTGTGGAGACAGTCGGACCACGTCTCGAATATACCAGAACAAGCGGTACGTGACGTTGAGTCATAGAGATATAATTCTGGGACATTCCATCGTCGTCTGGAGACTTCTCGTAGCAGAGTTGGACTTGGTATAAATAGCCAATAAATTTGATGAAGATGTTTTTGTGGCTAGGGGCGAAATAGTAGTACGCTTAAGTTAGCACCACCATAAAAAAGTCAAGACTATGGTTGCAAGTATGAAGGTCGCAACCCGCCTTAGAAATTCCACCTTTACTATCAACAGCTGTTGTTTGACAGGTCGTTAGAGAATGTTTGTAATTTATGGAATTTTAAGAATGTTAGAAATTTTGACGTTAGAAATAATTGGAATTCCTAAAATTGTCACATAAGAAATGCAATAGGGTTCTAAGTTAGAAGTAATTATTCAAGAAAATCAAAACCGCAAGTCAATCAGAACTTTCGTTCTAGAGTTATCGTGCCGGCATACATACACACAGACGACCAGACAAATTTTTTTTTTTGCATTTTCGGACTGCACGAATGCAATACTGAGGCCCCAAAGGAAGGGCCTCAGTAATTGATTATTATTCATATTTGGAATAGTGATTTCGGCAAAATTCTCTACTTTTCCAAAATTTCATTTTCAATGTTTTCGTCATCATCATCATCATCATCATCATCATCATCGTCGTCGAACATAATTGCTCTAGCAGTATGAATTAAGGGTGATAATATATTATTATTAATTTTCCAACACTATGTATTTAAATTATATAAAAAAATTAAAAAGAAAACTGTTAAAGAATTTTTGTAAACAAGAAGTAATAGTTTGTCAACTTTCGGCTGTCAAACCTATCACGCGTTCGTGTATTGTCCTTTCGCTCCGTTTACCCATTAGGCATTCCAACGACCTGTCCAAATGGTTACCAGTGGGTAATGACAGTTTAGATATGGCAACCCTGTTGTCATGTTGTCATTAACAGGGTCAATGATACATATATAGTTATATAGGTTGCTCAAAGCTGGTCGTTTACGAGCGGCCATACTGCCTGGCAAATATTTATTAATTTGAATCGGTTTAGCAAAAATGTGTTTTAAAACCAATTTTTAGCCTTTAGATATTTAAAAAAAATAATTGCTTACATTTTTACTTCAAGGCATAAGCTTATGTTTATTTTGAAAAATATGGATGATCAATCTATGTAACTATCTATTTCGTTGACCTTGTCAAATCACCAGGCCTACAGGGTTGCCATAATTTCGCCATATCATAACCCGTCAGAACCCACTGGTAGCCATTCAGTTTGGAATGCCTAATTAGGCATTCCAACGACCTGTCAAACAATACCTGCCAGTGGGAAGGTCTCGTATATCTAAGGGGGTAGCGACATAGTCTTGCATCTTGGACGCTATTTTTATTCGAAATATCAGTCGTCAATCCTGCCAGTTTTTAAAAAAATGTACAAGCAGTTTTTTTAATTAATATTTTTATAGTGTTCGATATAAAATATTTAAATGTAATCCATTATTCATGATTTTACGTAAAGTAGATAGAATACACCATATGTCGCCACCCTTAGATATACCAAACCTGCCCACTGGTAATTCATTTGTTTGGAATGCCTAATAGTAATAATTGACACATGCTCTAAGATTGACAGCCACTTCGACTGTAAGCCTGTCAGAACTGACAACTAACAAAATACATGACAGTTATAATCACTAAAATAAATCAGCCAAGCCAACACATTCTTTGATTTACTATATGGAGAATGGTCGCACTGCGCAGCTTTCTGAGTGCCTTTTAAAAGGAGATAGAAAACTCCGCCATTTTGAACCCTTATTACGTGTTGCCTACATCTTGGCGCAATATTTTTAATAGGTGCGTTTTAATCATTTGCTTCTGCTTCGGAATTGTCGCTTTTCTTGTTTTAATCTGACAGGTTAAAACGACTAAACCGACCATTCCGGAAGCAGTAGTGGATGATTAAAACGCACCTGATATTTTGCTTGCTGCTGTCAGTGTCAGTGAATATTATTTTTAAGGTCACAGTTTATTGCTAAAGAATCAGTTAGCTCACTCGGACCAGTTGAAAGTTCCAAAATAACATCCACTCCAGGGATACAAATTCAGGATACGCAGAAGACTGCTGTTTTATTATAGGCGGTTGTCATATATTGTATTATCCGAGTTGCACAGTGTTTAAACTGAAACATTGAGATCTGATTCTTTAGCTGTAAACTGTGTCACAGGGTTCAAAATGGCCGCGCCCTATGTTGGGCGTGTCGGACCTCTCTCTTGCCTCGTATAGTAATCAAAGTATGTGCAAGCCAATCATATCCCTAGAAGTGGCCCTATTCTAGTTATTGGTCTTAAACCCCCTTGGTGACTATCGTTAATTAGTAGGCCAAAATCTGTTAATTCACAAACAAAAGAAACTTAATTTTATATTGTATTCTATGGACGGACAGTGGATAATAAAGAGTTGGACAGAAAAATTAAAGTGTAATAAATAAATTAGCATTGTAAGTTAGTGCCTAAGTCTAAGTATTATATAAATTAATTAGTACGTCATAAAAAATTGTAAATAGTGTGTTTTAAACTATAAATAAATTAACTTTAAATAAATTAAACTATCGTTACATTACCAGTGTTACAGTTCCACTTCGAACACCAATGTAACGATATATATGTACCTCCTATTACGGTTTTATGAATGAAAGATCTGGCAGTTAACTTTTTAAAAATATAAACTGGGCTTTTACTATTCCAGTACTTTAAAACCAGACACGCTAAATACACTTTTATTCGGTTTTCCATATTCAGCCATCTCAACTCTGACCATTTTTCTGACTCGTGTTCTGATCCATGCAAGAATTCTGAATACACTGTTGTTGAATCAGCATCCAGACATGTTTTTGTAGATAAAACTTCAAAAATAATTTACTGTAGTAGTTTTTGAGAGACATGTAACATCATTAAAATACGGCTTTAAGCCTAAATTTAGTATCGATCGCTAGTCGTAACTTTTTTAACAGTATCATAAGCCTTAATTATGTTTCCATTAGTCACACTATTCAAATTGTTGACAGTATGTGGTTTTGTAGGGTTAATTCTCAATCCATGCTTACATGATAAAGTTATAGACATTTACTAAAGTTGTATTCATATTTAAACAAACCTGATGGACTTCATGGTTTGTAAAAGTTTTATATATTGTGTATCATCGGCAAATAAATGTATTTCACAATTATATACCTGTTAGCCTCATGCATTGTATACAATACAAACAGTAATGGTCCCAGAATTGAACCCTGTGGTCAGTGGCGATATTAAGGTGTAAGTCTGGGGGTATTAAAGTTTAAGTCTGGGGATAGTGGTACTATTTAAGACTGTAATTTTGATAAAAGTACGTTTTATTACCTAGAAACAGTTAGGTTTAAAAATTCTTGGGGGATAATTACCCCCTTGCCCCCATTACCCCCTCATATATACGCCCTGCGGTACTCTCTTTGTAATTAATCAAGAGCTTGACATTTTATCATCCATATACACTAATGAACATCAATAAAAAATGATTTGAATTGATAATAGCATGCATGTAACTTAATTTGTACCTTTCACAAAATAGTCAGGCTATGGTCACGTGGCTGGATAGTGGCGACGCTTGGAGGAAGAAGGTGCCCAATCTCAAATTATTGACCACATTCGTCAGCAACAACGACAAAAAAACCGATAAGGGCGTCACAACTTTGTTTGCTATCTTCCTTTAGTTGACCTAAATTGTTAAAATATTTTTGATTAGCTTTAATTTGTTTATGACTTTGGTCTTGCATTTAAAACACTAAACGAATTAGTATCGGTAAATAATTCATTTTCCTTTATTTTTTTTTTTTTTCGTTTTCTTTATGTACCTACGAAAACAACCTGTTGCTTAATTTGAATTCTGTAAAGAAGACTTTAGACTGCACTCGCTTAGCTTCTCGTTATATATTTCTATTTATCCATTATTTTGGTCTCCTATTAGGTTTAAATTACTTGTATCTTTAACTGTTACCTGTATCTTTACTCTTGTTTGACGGTCCCATTCAGCAATAATTGTTTCTTACCCTACTTTACCTACCTTATTTTTTCTTTTAACAGTCCTGACCTTATCTTGGCTAGAATAAAATCGATATGGTGTCTTTTACCTTATCGTCCCTGCTTGCTTATTCTTACCTTGAGACGATTGTTTGGCGCCATTTATGTAACTTAATTTCTACCTTTCACAAAATACTCAGGCTGTAGGCATTTGGCTGGATTCTGGCGAGGTTTAAAGCAGGAAGGTGTCCAATGGCAAATTATAAGCATTGTTGAGTACTGATTGAATCAGTGCAATGTCATAGAATTCTGCAGGAAATAGGCGTCGTATGCGACGTAGAATGAGCTCAGAAAATGTCCTGGACGAGAAGCTTTATGTTTCTTCTTACTTACCTTTCCCTTTTAAATGTTATTTTATTTAGTGACAACCAAAAATTATAGGTGATATTGTAAAAGTAGAAACTCAGCCAATTACCTTCAGGTGTGAACCGTTGGGACAATTTGGTATAACAAAATGAAGAAGCTGTGAACTCATGTTTGTTTGGCTTAAAACAAAGCAGGAACAAAGGTTTCAGAATTTAAAAAAATATATTAAAAAAATTATAATTGTATAATAAACTCATATAGGTATCACTTTTCATATTTACAGATTAACTTTCCTGTACACATTCATAACTTAACTTAAAAATAATGTCAATCTTGCTTATATTTTTGCAAAAATTTTATTAATTCTAAATATAGAAAGCAATCTCGGCCAGCGGGTTTGCATATTTCTCGGTGATCCAGAGGTACATCACATTTTATGCCAAATTCCGGATCTGAAAAAGAAACAAAAATATACTATAGCTACTTGAAATGGACACTTTGTCGAATGACTTCGTTAAATTCGCAATCTCCCTCTATCTATCTTTCTCTATCTATTTCTTTCTCCCTCTATCGATCTACATATTTTTCTCTAACTCTATATATCTCTCTCCCTCTATCTATCATCACATCTTTCATCTATCTCTCTATCTTAATATCTCTCTCTTTTTCCAAAAAAAAAATACCCATTCTTAATCGTTTCATTTTTTGCTTTATTTTGAGTTAAAAATATAGATTTACCTGCTGATTGGTACGCTACAATTTTTAAAAAAAGAAATGACATTAAAGTAAAAGACGTCTCGATAAAACTAAAAATATCTATGTCCGATTTTTCTTGTTCAATAATCTCCAAAAATCGCTTGTGTAAGTCCAGTAGAAAGTAGCAGTCTGAAAATAAAATAGAAGAATTAAGATAACCAATAAAAAAAATAGTCAAAAAGTGCATAACATTTATTATTAAAAAAAAATATGGGAAAAAATATAGAGAGTGAGCTATTTAAAAACACATTTAATCTATAAATATGCAAAGTAGTAGCAACTTTTATTTAAAATAAATTTTTATATTTCTTATGATTAAAGAGATACTGGATTTCCTCGTTCTAATTGCCCACTCTGTATATATTTATGTAGACACTTCTACAAATGAAAATTTATAATGCCAGAGATAATTGTTTTGTAATAGCTAATAATACTATTTTAAAATAGTAATTTCTTCTCAGGCTTAAGAGCGTTATCCATGTGCTAAAATTGACTTAAAAGTAATTCCAAGATTCCAGGCCTATTTTTTAATATTTTTTTTATGAAATTTGGCAAGCATATTTATGGAGTCGTCCATAATAGGGTTACGGAGTTCAAATTTTTATATATAAAAAAAGCATTTTTAATATATCAACAAAGCAAAATATAAAAAAAACGAGTCTGTAGCCGTATTTTTATTCAAAAAATAAAACGTTTATTTCAACTATTTTTGTTTCTACAAAGCCTATTTTTTTTGTAAACCTGGAAATACTAAAAATTAAAAAAATGAATTTAGATTTACCCGAGATAATAATTACTTAGCAACGTCGCACTGATATTGACCATATCTCCAGGATCGCCTTGCCGTTTAACTTCTAACCAGGCAGGTTAAATTTTCGTAACGCTTACTTGCATATTATGTAAAGACTACTAAAATTATTATTTTTTAGTTCTTTATTATAAACGCTTTTATTGATCAATTGACCTTAATAATTATGTATAGATATTTATTAAATTGAAACATAATTTCATAAAATATTTTATTAAAAATTTCTACAAAAAATATACCTATGGGAAAACAAAAAAATTCAAAAACATAAAGCTATATCAGTCTAAAAAATATTTTGGCAAAAGGCAAAATAATCAGAAGGGTGATAAACTGTTGATCAAGCGTGTAAAAACTAGTTGAAATGCGTTAAAAATGCGAATTATGCCCCGATAGACCGGTGGAGGGGAAATACTGAATACGTCTCACAACCACATTAATTTTACATTTCTGTTTAGTTCATAGATAAATAGATAGTATTTTCATTTACAAAAGAGTGACAGAGTTTAAAAAAATTGTGTTATCGTTGTTAGTGATAGTGTGTAACACTGTGTTTAATAATATAATAGAAAATACGGTTTTCCTTCAAAACGAACATCTATAAAAAATCGTACAAGACTTCTTACATTTAAAAGCTACTGTCATCCGATAAAGTGTATCTTTACTGTGGCATTTTTATTGTATGTAAAAGCAATACATAATTTTTTTTTTGATCTGGCAGTTTCTAGAACCAAAATGTTAAACACAAAACTATTGAATTTTCTACGAACCATGCACATCACTTAATAATTATGAATCAGTTACCATTAAATCATAATAATATAATGATCAGTTGTGCGGCTATCACGACATGTGATAGTAAAAAATGCTAAACCAGATGTCCTACCAGATAAAGATTACGGTCTTCATGACCATGAGAACATAATACCCGATTTAAATGATAAGGAGTATTAAAATAAAAAAGAAATATTTTTAAAATAATTACAAAAAACTCTCTTGAAATAGAATTGATTGAAAAAGAGACTAGAGGGCAAGGAGAAAATCCTACATGGAAACAAGCTAGAAGTGTACACATAACTGTTTATAATTTTGGTACTAATTGTAAAATGCGACTAAAAACAATTTTAAGATATGGCTTAGAAAAAGAACAAATAGCACTGCGTCAATTTTCAGAAAAATTTATTATGCATGTCGAAAATTGTGGTTTTGTTTGTCGATCTGGATTTATGTTATTTTGGAGGCTAGTCCTAATGGCCTGGCAGGAACTGATTATATAACTGAAATTAAATGCCCTGATTCTGCTTCAAAGTTAACATCGCAAGATGCAATAAGGCAAAAAATTATAAAATATGTAATAATTGACGACGATAATAATATATATTTGAAACAAAACCACAACTATTTCTACCAGGTCCAGGGCCAGCTTCACATAACAAAAAGGCAATGTTGTTTTTTCGTGATGTCGACCCCTCTGGGTTTTTTAGTGGAAAAAATTGAACGAGACAATAATTTCTGGCATAACACAATGCAAAATAAACTCTCGTGTTTTTATATGAATTATTGTGTTCTTCCAGAAATATTCGATTCTCGTTTATAAGGAGGTTAGAAATACGAAACCCTTCTCGAAATGATGCTCAATAATGAGTAGTATGGATTGTTATAAATGTTATACATACAAATTCATTTTTTTTATATGGCAATACATTGTGAGCAAGTAAAGTCCTGTTAAAAAAAATACGTTAACTAAATATCCTTTATCTGTCGACAATCTCGTATACATACAACCTGGATTGTCTACATATAAGTTAATTTACAATAATTGATTTTGTTTGCAATTAAATCATAATATTTTAATATTATTTTTGAAATAAATCTATATATTTTATGTTTTGGTGCATGCTATTATTTTATATTTTCTGAAACTTGCGGTCATATTTCTACTTTATCATAAAAAAAGTCGATAGCTTGATTAATTTACAATCTACGGTGATGTAAATAATAGTAATATTTAATAACTGCTGATTTTTGTGTTTTTCTTGTCGTAAAAATTTTTTATCATCTCGAATAAGCGACTTTTGTACTAAATTTTGCTGTACTAAAAACTAAAACGTATACCCGAATCAGACTTGAATATCTATCAGGGAAACATACAGACATCGAGCGCGCGACTCTGCCAAATTGGATTCAGAGGTACTGCGTCGCGTATTATTTAGCAGATTTGAAATCTGGGTTAGAAGCGTACTGGATAACGCTCTTAAGGTAGTTAATGAAACAATCTAAAAAAATTTGTTATCTGTACTTAGCAGGTAAAATGTAATGGTAATGAAACTCACTTCTTTGCATTTCTATTAATTCTACACTTCTTCTTAAAAGCGGTAATGTAAAATCTGCTAAACTAGAACCTCTGTGTGGTACACTATACCACATGATTGCTTTAGTCTGATCGAATATTTTTTGTACTTCAAGCCTTTCTTCATTGTTATCAAAAGCTGAAAATAAAAGAATGTTTATTACAATTCTACGTTTTTTAACACACATAGTTGTTATAACAAGTTATTAATAAGTAAGTTATTAACAAGTAAGTTATTAACAAGTAAGTTATTAACAAGTAAGCTATTAACAAGTAAGTTATTAACAAGTAAGTTATTAACAAGTTATTAACAAGTTTTAAGAAGTTAATAAAGAGTGTTTAAGAAGTTATAAATAAGTGTTATTATTAAGTTTGATTGCGGCTTATGTTCAACAAAATGAGTTTGAATCAGCAGAACGAGGCGGTGAGCTGAATTATAAAGAATCAAACTTCTTAACAATACTAAAATATGATGTCATTAGGCATTAATAATGACAGCAATTTAGATAAATTGTATTTTAGCTTTGTATTAAATAATGTGCCATAAAATAATTTTTTAAAACGGCGAGGAAATTATCCTTGTTCAGAAAAACAAAGTGTTTTGTTGATTTAATCTTATTTAAAAGTAAGCATCTACTCAACTGCAGCATCCTATCTAATTCGCAAATTATTCGTCTACCGTGAAATTGCGATGCACATTTTTAAATACAAATTAAGTGACTTACCGTTAATCATTATCTGCTTAATATATAGTCCGCCTTTAGAATGACCGACCCACATAATTGGTTTCCTTCCCACTCCAATCTTGATCAGTTCTTCAATCATTTCATTACTTCGCTCTATCAGATTCGTTCTAAAAAAAATAGGAGATTACAACTAGTTACATAAAGAAAATATTTTGGCATTTACTGAATTTACAAAATATATTAGGTACATTATATGTCAAAATTTAGAAACGTAATTTTTTTCCAACTCCTTTGGAACAGTATGTCTTACCTTTTCCTTTTTTTCATCCACGTAGGGCACCACAATATATCTGTAGTGTAATTCAAAGCAATTACTCTAGCATTAGGGCAATCTTTTGGAATCCAATCTCTCGGCCAGCAAGGACTAAAATCTTCCGTTTTTATTTCCTCATCATCGTCCCTATTATCTACATCGTTTTCTTCTGTTCTAGCTATCTTATTTGGTATTTTAGAATAAATATTTGATAAAGTCCTTTTAAGCGGCGATTGATTTTTGGTAGGTACGTAATAATCGCCAGTACTGGATAGCCGCCTTACTGGTGTTTGATTGGTCAACTTATGTTGGCTTGTTCTCCAAACACCTGTTGGTGTTTATAATTAAATTTAATTATTCAATATTATGGTTATCAAGATATTTGCAATTCATGAATTCCAATGCAATATGCAGTATTAATTAGAGTTTTTTGAATCATAGTAGGTACGGTAATAAATAAATTACTCAAAACGAAAATTAACTTTTAAAAATATTGATATTTTTTATTGGAATAACTTTAACGTATGTATACATGGCGAGTCACCGAAAACTTATCGGTCTGTATATCAGAAAAGGAAACATTTTAAAAATAATTAAGTGGTTGTAGGAAAAAATTGTAACTATTTTACTTCTTTCATAAACTTACAAAATCTAAATTTTATGTATTTTTTAATATAGTTACAATTTACTAAGCCGACTTGATTAAATCGGAATTACTGAAATACCTTCTGCAAAAAAAATGAACAAAGAATGTTTGTATTATTTCTAAACCTATCACAGATAGGTATGTAGGAAATATTTGAAAGATACTTCAATTAATGTTAAAATATACTGGTTGTTCTATTGAAAGTTTTTAGTGTTTAAAACTACGTATAATAAATATCTATTTCGTAAATAATATTTTTGATCACTAAGTTTTAAACTTTTTTAGTTACAGCCCAGAAAATTCTGAATTAGCCTTAAAAAATCAATTTAAAATATTGGGACATATATGTATATTTTAAATACCCCACATTTTGTTAAATTATTTGAATATATCAACAATAGTTTTTAGGTATAATAAACCCTTGGCACAGTTAAACTATTTTCTTTGTAGATTTTAACAATGCAATGAAATACAGAATGTCACATTTTAAAAACCTAACTATGATATAAATCATTTTACTGGAGCATCCTGTATATAGAACTGAAATAATTTTTAATTGATGCCTTTTCTGATATACATTTGCCATGCAAAGCGATTTAATTATTCTAAAAATAATAGTCAATTTTATTGTTATATATCGATGGTCTCTAAATCAATACCTCGTGAGTCCAAAATTTCGAATTTTTACTTTTTTCCATCTATCTATAAAAAATATTTTAAAACAAAATTTAAAAAAAAAACAAAATGACCACGTTTATAGGTTATTCATATATTTATTTACTTGTCAACTTTATTTATCAAATAATTAATTGGCTTTATTAAGCAATCAAGACAGTTTGATTTGAGACCGTCGATATACCGAATGTCCACGCGAAAACTTGGGGACTTTTGAGTGCCATTACCTCGAAAATTATTGAATTTTCGAAGAAAATGATAAGGGCCATTTTTGTAGATGATAAGCTGATCTTCATTTTTTGTCTAAACAAAAATTCTCTAATTGGCATATTCAGTCAGATATTAGCGGGAAACCCATTTTCCAGGTTTCAGGGGTCCATTTTCAGCCCCTTCCGGTACCAAGAACGCATTAAGGATTTTCTCGTTTAAAAACACCTGCCATGACCTACAAATTGCGCTATGTGGGAACTCATCAGCGAATTTTCTACAGGTTTGACCCTTCAGTTACTGGACTAACATATTATGAAGAATTATCAAAGACCACACTTTTTTGAGTAAATTCATAATAACAAAATTATAAATTCCATAGTGTATTTTTGGGATATTTTAATTTAAAATTTTGAAAGAATATATTTATGCACTACAGAGCTGGGCAGAGTACTGCGTCAAAGTACTGCGTTAAAGTACTCATGAGTAACTTTACAAAGTACTCAGTATCTCAGTATGAGAACTCACTGAATAATGCTCGAAGCAAATAAATACTTTTGCAAATTTTATAGAGTACTAATGAAAAAATCGAGTAACGACTGTAACGAGTGTGAGTACCACCTTATTTTAAATAATTCTAGTTCTAGTGATTTAAATTTCGAAAATATGAATTATAATAATTAGTAAGTAAGTATCAAACAAAAAACGAGAGTATCATTTATACTTACTTATACTTAATCCTTTTAATATTAGAGCAAAGTAATAAAGGTATTAGGTAGGGGAAGAGATACAGTCGGTTTTTTAAAATTACTTTTATAGCTTGTACTATATTCAACCCCTACTGTTGTCTATGGCCATGGAGAAAGTATAGTTAGAATGTTAGAATGAAAATCCGATACTCTTCACAGAATATACTATTAAAACCTATGTTATTTGATATATTCTTATCATTTCCGTCCTGTATCGTCGATAAGTTATTCGGATTTGCCTTAGGGTTATGACGCCGATGGTAGTGGTATTTTGAAAATTAATGGAATTGTCAAATATATTTTGGGAAGAGTTTAAAATTGTCAGTTAGGAAATAAAAACAAAGTCAGAAAATATTATATTGAAGTTAGGACAGATAGATATTAAAGTTGAAGATTTAATAAAAAAATAAAAAATGAAGAAAGATGGAGAAAGTTTTATTAAACTAAAGATATAAGTGTGAATGGACTAGGAAGGAGACTTCGTTAGAAGGAGGAGTAAGAAGAGAAAGTAGAGGAAAGCAGCAAGAGGAGATCAGGCAGGAAAACAGGAGGTACAGAAAGTCAAGAGTTAGAGCAGAAAACAGAAGAACTGGGAGCAAGAAAAAAGAAGGGAAACGAAAGATTTAGATTTTTTTCAAATTCAAAATATATCGATTAATATTATTTTTAGTTATTTTTTTGAAATTTTTGTGGGAAGCCAAAGGGCTCTGAGATATTGGAATGGTTTAACCTTTCCAAGATGGAATTATTATAATATATATAAGCGGGCGTCGGTACTGGTACTCGTTACTCGTTAGCTGTAGGAATAAAAAGTACTAAGTACATGGGCGTCGTTTGGGGGGGGGGGGCAAGGGGCTTTACAACGTGTAAGATATGCATTACTGATATTTTGTTAGGTAGGTTCCTTAAGCCTGTTACATCCTAAAAACATAACAAATAATACTGTTACGCAGGTTTTTGGTATCGCAATTTATTTGAACTCAACTTTTACAACAACTATTCAACTGATAACATTAACATGTAACGTCTATCATAAAACTCCCCACTGACGTCAGGTCGTCGACTTATATAGCTTGCCTCCACCTAGAACCTTCTCGAACAATCCGGATTTTTCTTTGACAAGGAATAACATTTCGAGACATTTCTGGAATATTCCACCTTCTTCATTTACTCGTACATTTACTTATGACGACCGCAGCACGCTGCAGGGTACTGCGTAACAATACTTTTTTCACTACCGATCAGAAATGAAGATAGTTTACATATTTCAAATCGACAATTTTGAAGCTGAATACCAAATGTGGATAGCTAACTGGACTACGAAAGAGCTTAATGCACATAATGAGCTCTCCATTAATGATATAGCGTCCAAACATTGTGAATTTTATCCAGGCCTACAAAAGTATTAAAAAATATCTATAGCTCTTCCACCAACGACGGCGTCAATCGAAAGAACGTTTAGCACGCTAAGGCGTCTTAAAACATGGCTGCGGTCTACAATGAATGAAAATAGGCGACTAGGCTATGCACGATGAGCGAGATGATGAGCGTACAGAAAACAAAAAAGAAATTATATCTTCTGTTATCCATATTTTTGATAGAGAAAGAAGAAATTTAAAATTTGCGTTTTTTTTGTGTTCGTCGACGTGTTTGAGTGAGTTTTCGTGTTTCTATAAATATTTAATTTTTTTATTATTGTGTATGGGTGTCTTGTTCGTATTTTTCTTTTAAATCACACCTTCTATTTGTTTTTTAAAAATATGAGTTTTAGGTTTCTTGTTTTATTTATTTTAATTTGTCATTTTGTTGGGTTATTTTCTTTATTAGAGAGAATTTTGTTATTTTGCATTGCTCCTTTATCTTTCATTTTTTTTGTTTTCAAACAAATAAACATTCTATTTTTTTTTTCAAAATTTTGCACCTTACTGATTACTCTAAAATATAAAATACTCGAAATTTTTTTAGTATGAGTTCCGTCAGGAGGAAAGTACTTACCAATTACTGAGTACTTTGAGTACTCGAGTACAATTTTTACTGCCTAGCTCTGTGCACTACGAAAACTCAAGCTAACCATGGATTTGATTATCCATATCAGATCCAGCAAAAGCGCAGGAAGCGTGTATGATAATAGTTGGAAAAAGGAGAATATCTATAGTATTTAATTTCGAAAATTTCGAGTACAAATTATTTACAAAGAGTAACATTATTTTTAACATTTCGCGAGATATCCGTATCGGTATATTTTAGAAATTCCTTGTATAAAACAGACGTATTTTCTCGAAATCTCATATCAGATATAAAAATTTCTGGCAAGGAATTTTGTTTATCAATTTTTTTGGAATTTGCACTTTATTGTTTAACTCGATATTATTTTTTACGTGTTTTACGTATTAAATATAATTAATACGATCGTGTGATAAACATAAATTAACCAGTTATTATAATAATATTTATTATACGTGTCCCAAATAGAATGTTTTCTACTAAAAATTAACTTTCATTATCAAAGCTACCTTATCGTTATCTTTGAGTTTATAATGTTTATGTTATATAAAAAGTGAAAATTATAGCAAATACATATAAATCTGTATGTCACAAAATGTGATGAGCGATCGTTTACCTTCGGAAAACAACCACTACTTTGCCTAATACCGCAGCAGGTATTGCATTATATCCAAAGAGAAATAACGTAGATAGAAATTTAATTTGACAATTTTGATTTTAATTTTCCTTACCAAGGAGGACTTCATTCTTGGTCCGATTTCGTCCTTATTAGGACTCATCAGTAAGAAATAGACAAGCCCTAATTACAGGGTAAGGAAAGGAATATTATAATAGTTAATTAGAATAAAAACGCTTATTTTTATATATAAAAGAACTTAAATCTAAATAAATACGACCTAAGACAGGCATGGGTGTAATCCTGAAAAACAAATTCATATAATAAAAACAAAAGATGCATATATCACGTAAAACTGATACTACATGGGTAAAATAGAAATAAAATTACCTTGTTTCCATGTTTTATCTATTCCTCCATGTAAACCATGAATAAATATCACGTCAATACCAATTTCTTCAGGTTCAAAAAGTATCATACACTCTACCGACTTTTCTGACATTTCAGCTTCTGATTCGTTACCGTCAGTAATAATAGCCCTATCGCAACCATCTTGATCCTGGGTTATCGTTAAAGTTATTGGATTAGATTTATTTTGGACGGACGGTAGAGATCTCGATAGGCTGTTGGCTATGAACGCTACTATGGCTGGAAATATTTGATTCCTAACATTTTGGTATAATACTTGCGGATTTCTGAAGACCGTGTAACAAACTGTTGAAATGGGCGGTAAAATTGATCTGGCGATTAAATCGATGGCTACCCATAGTTTACTGAAAAAAAAAATCCATTATTTATTGTTGCCAGATTAAAACACCGTTACAAGTTCGACAGATGGTACTCTACCACTTGTTAAGGTCACCTGCGCATGCACTGTTCTATTTAACGTTAACATTAACGTAGATATTACGCAAAACTTTTTAAAAAATCATTAAACAACCCAGACAGCACACGACATCTTAAAGACGTCTATTTTATGTCGTACTTATGACTGAACGACTAAAGACCTAAAAAAGACGTTTTAAAGATGTTTTATAAAGACGTCTTTTAGGACACATAAAAAGACGTCTTAAAGACGTATTTTAAATGCCTATCTATTTAAAAAATATAAAAAATAATTTAAAAAAGTACTGGCTTACTTGTTTCTAATTTCACAAATTATATATTTATATTTGAATTTATTTTTATTAATTTACATAATTTACTTATTTTTTATTTATTTAAGAGCATTTGTTCATTATCGTTTCGTTGTCATTTGTTGTTGATGTTGAAGATAAAAGTCGAGATGTTTTTGTTATTTGTTGTTTTTTTTATTTATGTCTTGTGCCGTGGATTACTGTGAATTTATAGGCATAAAAGTGTACTGCATATACCGAAGAACCAAATAGAAGAGCCCATATTAGTGTTTTAAGTACGTCTAGGTATCTAGGACTGACCTAGAAGCTTCATCGGATGTAAATATATCTAAATTAGGGTTTGAAGTACAGGAAGATTGCCATTCTTTGACCACCCTTAACCCACACTATCTTCTGAAAAATCTTTCAAAGCGAATTTGGCAGAGTGGGCTATAATGCATAATATTTCACATAGCGCAGTTAAAATTATTGCAACCCAGACTGGCTCAGAAGAGCATCAGACACTGATGGTGGAAGAATACAAAAAAAATTAATTTGTAATATTTTTTTAACGAAATGTTTCAGTGTATTGTTAATAATAATGTTTATTGAAATATGTTAGTTTTATTTTGTATAGAAGGAATTTACAGAAGCTTTTAAAACTGAATCCGAGAGTATGTCTTACCAATGTCGAAAAACAGACATGTCTTAAGAACGTTACCTTTTGTAACATCAGACGTTTTAAAGATGCCTTTAAGATGTCTGGCCGGCGTCATAAGACGTCTTTTAGACATCTGTCATGTCTCTGACAGGGAACCTTAGACAGATTACCGAAACGATAATTTACAGTTTCCTATGAAATAAAATCTTGCCTCTATTACTTGCAATATAAATTGACAGATGGCGCAAAGCTCTTGCAATGACCTATACTGGGACAAAATATTGGAGAAAGTGAGTCATATGTATGATCAACACTGTTGTTTATGAATGAAAATTCCAACAGAGTTAGCATAGGCGGAGTATCAAATACCAAATAATTATTTATTATTTATTAGGTATTTGTTAGTAAACTATAATAAATTTGTTTGTCAACATCTTTATTTAAACAAAGATGATGCGTTAAATATACGTTTTTGATAGTTTTCAAGAAATTAATATATTTAGTTCCTAATGACTTCGTTATCTGTGTTTAATGGTTTTAAAATGTGTTTCAAGTAAATAAACGAGAGACGGGTTACAGATTGAATATTGTCAGCACAGGCACAAAGACAGTTGAAAACTAACTTTCGATGAAGTTAGATTTGTATCGCTTTACCTATTAACGATAATTATTTTATATTTTATAAATACTTTTTTGTATAAGTGCTCTCTTTTGATATACGAGTAGGTGTTCATGTTTGTGCCTTACAATTTGGTAGTGGCAGTGCATATTTGAGGAGTTATATTTATTGTGTAGTATATTAGGTAGGTACTTTAAAAGTTTATTAAATAGTAAAATATTGGTGTCTTTATAAATTTAATAAAAACAATTTAATAGTAGAATTATATTGTTACAATAGTAATGGATTCAGAGGCGGGTCCAAGTGAAACCCAATTACGTCGGCGAAAGCCCTTATCAAAAGATGAAAAGAACATTATATGGAAAGTGTATGATGGGCTGAAACAGACACTTCCTACAAATGAAGCTGTAAACCGCAGTTCTTTTTTAACTGGAGTATCTGTTTCAACAATTGAACGTATTTTTCGCGAAAAGACAAAAAAAGGCTCCTTAAAAGCCCCTAAAATGCATACCCGTGGTCGAAAATTGTTGAAATTGGACGATAACCAAAAACAAATCATTCGAAGAACTGTATATTCTTTTTTTTTTTTTTTTTTTTTCCAAAGCCCCAACACTTAAAGTTGTTCTTACGAAATTAAGAGAAAACGAAGAAATTCCATTAATGAGCCGTGAAACTACGAAAAATTTGATGGGACCTAAAATTTAGTTTTGTCAAACGGTGTAGAAAATCAATTTTAATTGAGAGGTCAGATATAGTGTCCTGGCGACGGCGTTATTTACGAAATATTAAAGAGTTTAGAGCCGCTAAAAAAAAGATATACTATCTCGATGAAACGTGGGTGAATGCTGAAAACACGGTATCTAAGATATGGCAAGATACTTAATAATAATAATAATAATATTAATAATAATGGTGGGTTGGCTCAGTGGTTAGAGTCATGACTTTGAGATCGGAAGGTCTCAGGATCGAATCCCACCGGTGTCAGGGATTTTTAATTAAAAAAAATTAAATATTAATTCTAATGGATAGGTAGGATTCCCCACTCGACCATTCACTGTTGGGTTCTAATTAACAGTGCTGTTTCGCTGGGAAACAGTAACAAAGCCTACACAGAACACGAGGCTAATGGCCGTAGTAGTCGACGCCGATGACACCAAATTAAAAAAAAAAATACTATGAAGGCTATAGAATAGTGTTCATAAAAAGTAATTATAAACAAAATAAGCTCAAAAAACTAGAAACCGTGTTAAATTTATTAAAGAAAAACCGGTTATATATAAATTTTGTCAGTCATCAACGGCCGAAAATGCTATGTCTAGATGTTCTTATCCGAGAATTGGTAGACTATGCAACCACAAATGCATAGAAATTAATTTCAGGCTGCCTAACAATCTCTTTCAAGGAGGGGATTATGGCGAAGACGTAAGGGACGTGGATTTCGAGGTTATGTATGAAATTGATGGAGCTAAAGGGTATAGAACCCTCTTAAAAAAATTATAGTTTTGGTTTACATTGAAACTATTTAACATTGAAAAGTGATAAAAATGTTTATTTCGTTCAATACCATATTTTGAGTGATATTTGCTCTATGGCTACTATGATTAAAAAATAATATGATAAAATATGTATGTTAAAAATAAAAAACAGCTATTTACTAAAGATCCATCGAATTTAGGTACAGGGAAATCTTAAATGGAATAAACGACAATTTAAATGTCTATCAGTTTATGTTATTTAATACGGGGTGTGCCATTTAAAATAGGAATATTATTCAACTACGTATGATGTAATGGAAAAATTTGCATTTTATTCGATAGTCTAATATCTTGGCTACGCATATCGCAGGTGACTGTTGATGTGTTTTAAATAACCGCGACATACTAGGTTGTTCAAGCTTACAAATTAAAAATCCTTTAAATGTTTCAAAAACGAAAAGAGATAGGTATAGGAAACATTACAGAAACTTTACTTTATTATTTCCGGGGAATCAAAAGACACCATTAAATATAGGGTGTTCCCTTTAAAAAACAAAACTTTGATATAAATTCCTATTTTTGGGTCACCCTGTATAATCCAAATTATTTTTAAATTTTAGGGTTAATGTCCCTGTATATCCCTGTTAAGAAAACAAATTCAAAATTTAAGTCGTTTTCCCTACAGAGATCAACGCGTATAGGATGCGCCACCCTGTATACAGCATACATAATAAAGAGCCTAATATTGATCCTTGTGAGACTCTTATTTTTATTTGCCATCTGAATAGATTCAAAAATTTGCCTATTATTTAAGATTTTAACAGATTTAAGTATATCATTCAAATAAGAGGAAAACCACTCATGGGCTATTTCTCACATTCCATATTTATATAATTAATCTTTTAAAATGTTTAGTTGAACTCAGTCAAAAGCCCAACTAAGGTCACAAAAGATATCACTCGATCCTTTAAATTAAATTTAGCGCCACGCTATAAAATTATTCTAGTCGACGAATTTGTTTTAATAAAATGAAAATAGTTGTTTTGGCTATAATTATAGAGATAAGTTTGTATGTCATAAAAAAAACAATATTTTTTTTTTAGACAAACCAAAATTTTTAATCTGTTGATGAGTTCAAGGAAGGCCAATGTCAAATATTGGTACTTATGTGTGGTATTGTCAAGGTTAATAAGAGCCACCAGGAAAAATTATAATTGGAGTTGGCTGTGAAATTTAAATGTTTTGGGTTGGTACTCAAGCCACTTGAAACTAATTAATATTGGAAAAAAAAATTAAATTACTGAGTTAGTAGTTAGTAGCAAATACGAAAACTTTAAACTTTTTTAATATTGTCTATCTGAAATAATTACTTGTTATATTTCTATTATAATATTGAAAGCATGAATATTATTTCAAGCATTTTTATATGGTCGGCTATTATCAAAACAAATGAATTGTTTATGTTGTGTAAAAATTCAAGATGGCAACCGTAAGAAATACCAAAGTTACGGCAGGTAACTCAAGAACACAAGATCATTTGAAAAAAAATTGCCACTAGTATATTCTCCATTAAAAATAATGTAATACTTTGAAACATGTCAAATTAACTATTAAGACGCTATTAAAAGAAACAAAATGAGGCGATTTAATTTTTTTTAAAATACGTCAAAATCTACATAGCTTTTAAAAATTTTGAAAATGGATTCAAAATCAGCAACAAATTCTTTAAAACATTCCCTATTCAACCGACCTTCTATCTTCTATATTAAACGAGAGATTCAAATTTGGGACACAGTGTATATTTAAGATATGTTCCAACCTTTTGGAGACACCCTGAAATTTTTTTAAAAACATCAATACATTATACATATGGAAGGCAATTATAGAACTGTTGGAATCCCTATAGTACGTACATTCGGTCTATTTTTGCTAGATAGAATCATGGAGCTGACTGAGTTCGTTAAATAGATTTAATAGAAATCCATCAAGTCGCATTTCAAATCGATAAAAATAAACAGACTATATTGAAACTCACGAAACACCTCACTTCATAAATTCTAATTTATTTTGATATTGCCAAAAATACTTTTTAATATTGGGTTGCCGATTTCGTATATACTTGTGACTAAAGTTAGTGTACACCAACAGCAACCACTCGAGTGATTATTGATGATGACATTTCAATAACCTACGATAATAAAACCATAAAAATCTGATGTGTCCAACACATGACTTTCCTATCTAGTTATTATAGGCATTTTCCGGTTATTTTGTACAACCTATTGCAGCATCTCTATAAATGTTTAGAGGATAAACTAAATATATACATTTTACACATACATCTACCTCGAAACATTTTTCTATAGATATTCATTGAAAACGAAAATACAGAAAAATTTAAATTTAGCACTTTTCCATTACGGACCATTTTAGAAAAATCATGTATAAACAAAAATTATAGAAATCGATATCGCAAACAACTTTTAGTTCAACAATTTTCATAAAAATCAGAATTTTGCACATTTTGTCAAATTTCTCGAATACGGACCATTTCAGGAAATTTTGACATAAAACAAAAATTATAGATAATAATATTAGAAGTAACTTTTATTTGAACAATTTTCTTCTCCAAACATAAATAACAGATATATTCCATAAAATATAAAAACGGCCTCCCATAAAGTACCCCCCCAGATGTTCCAACTTTGTCCAAAATCTAATCATTTCACGTCAGGCCGAAATAAACCTTAAGTTTAAAATTTAATGTTTTTTCCTTTATCCGTTTTTGAGTTTTCTTCAAATTTCGAAATTTACACATTTTCTCAAATATCTCGAATACGGTCCATTTTAGAGAAATTATGTATAGGACAAAAATTATAGAGAATTATATTATAAACAACTTTTATTTGAACAATTTTTATAAAAAATTATGTTTTTTACATTTTGTCAAATTTCTCGAATACGGACCATTTTAGGAAAATTTTGCATTAAACAAAAATTATAGATAATTATATTAGAAGTAACTTTTATTTGAAGAATTTTCTTCTCCAAGCGTAAATAACAGATATATTCCATAAAATATAAAAATGACCACCTATAAAGTACCCCCCAGATGTTCCGACACTGCCCAAAATCTAATCAGCTCATTGGACGCTGAAACAAAGCTTAAGTTTAAAATTTGGTGTTTTTCTGTGTATCGGTTCATGAGTTATGCGTTATACAGACACACACACACACACACACACACACACACACACACACACACACACACACACACACACACACACACACACAGACACACACACACACACACACAGACATCATCGCGAAAATAGTCAAAACGGATTCAGGGGACCTCAAAACGTAAAAATCCGTCGAAAACTCGAGGTCGAAAAAAATCATGATTCCTATACTTTCCTTATATCTGTATACAGATAGGAAAGTGAAAATACATGTGATATAAGACCTCATTATGAAAATTAATGGCATATTTCTAATTTTAAAATACCAGTGTTGTTTATGATATATTATAAAAAATCTAAAATGTTACTAAAAAGTAAGATTTGGTTTTCGTGAAGATACAGGTACATACGAGGCTGGATCAAAAAGTACCCATGTTAGAAAGTTTTCCCAATGTTTCTGCCATTTATTTAACCCCTCCAAAAAATATGATTTCTCGAACTCCGCAAAATACGCTTTAGTCTCGACGATAACCTCCTCGTTAGAGCTGAATTTTTTTTCCCCCCAGCCACGTTTTCATGTTGGGGAATAGAAAAAAGTCGCATGGAGCCAAGTACTACAGTTCTTGCAATTTGACAGCGACAATTCTCGATGAATGTGCTAGTGCGTTATCGTGGTAAAACAGGACTTTTTTCTTAGCCAAATAAGGCCGTGTCTCCTTCAATTTTGCGTCGAATCGGTCCAATAATTCACTATAGTACTGCCCTGTCATCGTACTTTCTTTCTGCAAAAAGTCGATGAGGATTATTCCCTTGGAATCCCAAAAAATCGTAGCCATGATCTTTCCGGCCGATGAGACGGGAGCAGATTCACCCCGAAAAAGCCATTGCTTCGACTGTCGTTTGGTCTCTGGTGTATAATAATGTATCCAGGTTTCATCAACGGTGACGACTCGACGCAAAAACTCCTGCGAATTTCGATTAAAGAGCTCCAAACACTGTTTGTGTGCGCTCCGATATTTTACCTGCGAACTTGCCTCTTACGACGATGGTCAGGTCATCGGCATAGCCTAGACAGTATAAATCTGAAAATATTAGCCATTTTATAAGTTCGTTCACTAGGCCTGACCAGAGAAGGGGTGATAGTACTCCTCCCTAGGGACAGCCCCTGCCTGCTTTAGCTGTCAGTGTAGTTTCGCCTAGAGATGATGTTATTACCCTTTCTAATAGGCTGGCTTTTATCCACTGACATAGGTCTACTAGTACCCCTTTCATTGTTAAAAAAAAAATACTACCATAACAATCATTGACACGAAAAAAAGTTTGTTGTGTTGAAGTAATAAAATCAAAAATTACATTTTAAAATTTGCAATGACAAAACAATCTCGTCAGGTCTGAGATTTTCTAATTAAATAGCAATATCTGTGATATATAGCCCAACTCTGTTAGAATCTTGATAACGTTTACTCATGTGTAATTTACAAGGACATTTAGAAATGTAAAAATATTTCATTTTCTTTTTTCGTGAGCTAACATTCACAATATCATGCATACCTATGTCGACATGCAAATCAATTATTTTAATTACCTTTAACTAACAAACATAAATTGATATTATTAATTGTCGCATAATTATTGTGTATATTTCTATTACTATACACATATCGCTCATTGGGTGCAATAGTGGCACATCACAAAATTAAAAGTTTTGAGAAAATCACCGATTTGTAAAATGAATTTAAAAGATTTATATATTCTATATCAAGACCTTTACTTTGTTGAAAGTTTGATATTTATATGTGTTTAAATTATGTATCAAATTGTATTATTCCTACTTTTTTAACTGAACGTCTTTTTCTAAATTTATTTTTGAAAAAAACAACTAGTTGTGCCGTTATTGATTTTTTACACATATGAATAAAGTTAAATATTTAAAAACAACAGTGGCACATTATAAAATGTAACTTAAATAAATGACTCTAACCCAACACGGCACAATTTACATTGCTCTAATAAAATAAGAATTCATAATAATATTTTAATATACCTTTAAATATGCCAATATTGTTTCACTAAAATTATAATATTCAACTTACCTTAGCGTACTATTTAAAATATGCCACTGTTGAGTCTTTTTATGTTCTTCACTTTACAATTGTCACTGAGAAACTGCGTTTCTGTACCGGTATTGCCGCGTCACCGTTAATAAACACGCGGTATTCAATAGTGGCACAAGTTTTATCTAAGGGTACCAGAGTAAGATAAACATGTGCCACTATTGTTGGTTAGTTAAACAAAAAATTGCGAGGTTTAGGGTACAATTAACTAAAAGTGGCAATTTTTAGAGATGTGCCACTATTGCACCCAGTGAGCGATATGTATTCAACTGTAATCTACATAATGAAGTCCACTGGGTTATTTTTTGGTTTCTAAATTTCTGATAAATATAGTAGCTTTAAAAAAAATACTTCTAAATACTATAAACGTTAGCTATATTGCTAACTCGAACTAAACTAATTTAATAAAAAAATCGAATTTATTACGATATAAAAATTTTTGTCCATGAGCTTCTATAATGTGGTAATATTCCAAATAAAAAGACATTGCTTTTTAGTTCTGTTTATTCTTCTCTTCAAATTATAATTCAGAAAAAATTATACTCGATTCTTAACACGTTAAGCGCCAAAATTATTTTTGCATACAAACAATTTTTCTTACACTCACCTAGCTGGAATTATCAAATAAGAGATCTTCGTATCAAATTGTACTGCATCTGGACATAAAATGCTTTGGTCGCACATTATGTCCTCGACTTCCATATTTTTTTTTTAAACTGAAAAAATAAAAAATATATTGAAAACTAATTTACAAAAGAAATGTTAATATTTTCTGGGGTTGCAGGTCTCAAGAAAAAATATAATTGCTTTTAAACTAGGAGGGAATTCACAGAAATGCTTAAAAATTTTAAATTACTTTGTATTTCTTGTGTGATTAAAACAGTAATGGGTAAAAATTAGTAAAAATCCATAGGGTTTTTTATATTATTTTATTTAGTATATTAGAAAGCCACTTTAGATTTAATTTAAAAAGTTCACTTAGTTACAGTGACGTAGTGGAACGCATCACATAAACGAACATATCCACAGTCATGTCATGTCAAGTGTCACTTGTCATCGGGTACTTTGAAAAACGTATGTACATCTGATCTGTATTGAATAAATAAAATACTTTAAACAGAGTTATTTATTTTATATAAACAACGTTACATGGTGGCAGCGGTTAATTTAATCTCGCTCAAGTCTTTTGAACCAGGAAAAATCCAGCAGAGGCTTGGGAAAAGTGGCGCCAAATAGTAGAAATATACTAGGTGGCGGCATAATTGGAAAATAAAATAAGCCGAACAAGACCCAGAGGGCTTTATTCCTGCACATACTATAGGGAAAAAGAGATCGAAATCGAAGTGTATAACTTATTTGAATTTCAAATACAACCAGATGATGAAGGAAATGTGCCTATTTTGAAAGACCGTTTAACAGTAAAAATAATTATGGACACCTTTAGTGAATATTATACACCATTCAAGAATGAGACTTATACAAGACACATATTTTTTACAACGCAGTTCAAGGAAATGACAAAACATTGATGAATATAATAGAATTAAAAAGAAATGTTAACTGATACAGGAAGAAACAGCTAAATGAAACAAAATCCTATTTTTTAGCCAGATATAAACTATTTGAATACAATGGGTACGTGTTTAGAAACAAACAAATAGTCATACCAAAATCTCTTAGAAATGAGATGATGGAAACTGTGCATATAAAACAGTTTGTATCTTCATGTATGGTACGTCAAAAATATAGCAAAAGCAATACTAAAGAACCAATGCAACCAACTCCAATAGCAAATTGTCCATGAGAAAGAATATCTATGGATTTTTTAAAAGCACAGGACGAACAATATATTTTGATTGCTGATTACTTCTCTAAATTTGTTATCTTAATGAATTAGCTGAAACCAATAATATATACACATGGAATCCCGAAAGAAGTAAGGAGTGACAATGGACCTCCATTTGCCTCGAGGGAGTTTAAAATGTTTTTAGAGGAAGAAGGAGTGACTCATAAGACAAGTAGTCCTAGATATCCCACATCAAAAGGGTTTGTTGAAAGACATATCCAAACGATAAAGAATATGGTCGCAAAGGCAAAGAATAAAGACATATACAAGACCGTCATGGTATATAATAACACACCAAAGCAAGATCTTCCCGCACCAACCGACATTCTGATGGGACAGAAAATTCGAACTAACCTACAAATGACAGACAAATTGTTGGAAACAAGATCGAAAAATAAAATTCTGACAAAGATAAAGTATGCCCAATAAAAACAAGAGAAAGAAGCCCACTGGAAGGAAGCATTTTAATGCAAAAAGTAAAGAATATGTAAGTACCTGCAAAGATACTAAAAACATTAGAAGAACAAAACTCGTATTTAGTTCAAACAGAAGATGAAGGAATGTACAGGAGAAATAAAATTCATCTGAAGAATCTAAATAGAGCATAGAAGTGAAACGAGAAGAGCATGAAGAAAATATGGAGCAAGAAAGTGAAGAAGAGAATGGAAAGGAACAGTTGGACAATCGAGGGTTGGAAGTGGAGACAAGAACAAGTGGGAGAAGAACAAAACTTCCAAGTAGATTTAAAGAGTTTGTTATAGGGGGAGATGTGACGTAGTGGAACGCATCACACATAAACGAACACATCCTGTCAAGTGTCACTTGTCATCGGGTACTTTGAAAAATGTATGTACATCTGCCTTGACAGGAATTCTTATGTGCGTACTCAACACGTAACGAATTGAATATGAAACGCATTCTGTGGAACGAAGATAGTCGTCTTAACACGTGTCGAATTGAAAGATGAGAATCCCAATGCTGATCTGTATTGAATAAATAAAATACTTTAAACAGAGTTATTTATTTTATATAAACAACGTTACAGTTACTAAATAAAAAGAAAAGAATGTTAGGTTGAAAAAGAACGGGTAATAAAATTATGGCGAGACAAGAAGATAAAGATACTTTTTTAGTAGTTAATATGTTAAGAATAAATAGGAAAACAGTATTTAAGAAAAGAAAAGTAATTATTATTATCCCAATAAAATTAATCGTTTAGGAACCTACAGTATTTTAATTCTAATGGTTTAGATTATTCTTATTAGTCGTAGAGTTTAATTAATATCTATTCCTTTTCCGCTTTCTATTCATATTTTAGGAAGTTTGTTACGACTCCTTAGAACAGAATAGAAATCTACGTAGGTATATCTAAAATTTAGTCGAGTCTAGCTTCAAATTTTATTCACATAGTTAATACCAAATATATTCAATTTTTAATGTACTGGCTTCAAATTTTATTCGCATAATTAAAACCAAAATATATTGAATTTTAAATGGGTATACTTAGAATTTTGACGAGGACTGGAACCAAATTTTATTTTTTATCCACATAGATTAAATTTTGAATTGACTACAAAAGATAAGTGCCTATTATTAAAACAGTTCAAAAGTTCATTAATTTTCATTCTTTAAATTCGAATAATTCGATTTCGATTAAGTGAGGTCAGAAACTATAAGTAGTTACCTCCTACATAAATAATAATATTAATATGAACTTGTGCATGACATCTGAAATATTTTTGAAATTTCTCATAAAAAATTAGGTATAAAAAGGTGTAATAAAATACAAAAAATTTTTAGTAGCTCATCAAGAAAGGCACATTGGATGTATGAAGTTAGTATCTCTTTAAGGGGAATTCTTATGGCATTCGATATAGTTCTGGAGTTCCTGATACTTTTTTCTTGAACTACTATGGTTATTTCGCCTCGTGTTCTGTGTAGACTTTGTCACTGTTTTCCAGCGCCACTTTAGGAACAGCACTGTTAATTAGAACCACATACTTTGATTTTCTTTTACTATACGGAGAATGGTCGCACTGCGCATCTTTCTGAGTGCCTTTTAAAAGGAGATAGAAAACTCCGCTATTTTGATCCCTTATTACGTGTTGCCTACATATTGGCGCAATATTTTTAATAGGGGCGTTTTAATCATCCGCTTCTGCTTCGGAATTGTCGGTTTTCTTGTTTTAATCTGACAGGTTAAAACGACTAAACCGACAATTCCGGAAGCAGAAGAGGATGATTAAAACGCACCTGATATTTTGCTTGCTGCTGTCAGTGTCAGTGAATATTATTTTTGGAGTCACAGTTTATTGCTAAAGAATCAGTTAGCTCACTCGGACCAATTGAAAGTTCCAAAATAACATCCACTCCAGGGATATAAATTCAGGATGCGCAGAAGACTACTGTTTTATTATAGGCGGTTGTCATATATTGTATTATCCGAGTTGCGCAGTGTATAAACTGGAACATTGAGATCAATAGTGCCGACGCAGAGTGAGCGAACTGATTCTTTAGCTATAAACTGTGGCATAGGAATCAAAATGGCCTCGTCCTATGTTAGGCGTCTCGGACGTCCCTCTTGAACCGTATAGTAACCAAAGTATGTGATTAGAACCCAACAGTGAATGATCGAGTGGGAAATCCAACCAAGGCATCAGAATTAATTTTAAATAATTAAATTAAATAAAAAAATCCAGGCCAACGGTAAGATTCAAACCCTGGACCCTTGGATCCGCAGGCAGACACTACCACTGAGCCACATACCCCGTAAATACCTATCCAAACTTGCGATTTGCTGTGCTTACTTTTCGTTCTTTTTTTTTAAATTTCTAAATCCACATTTTCAGTCCTCTACACCGCCCCCTTTAGGGGTGAAAAGTTAAAATTTGAAATTTTGACGTACAATACCTACTGAAAGTTACATTTTAGTGTAACTTTTTATAAATAGTTACTATCGAAAAGCATCCCAATAAATAAAAAAAAATCAGATGGAAATTCGATAGTTTATGAACAGTTCTAGAGTTCTTGTTCATTTGTGTTGTTAAATTATTTAAATTAAAGCTCTGACCCTCCTGAAATAATTGTAAATAATTATTAAAAACAGAAATTCCAGACAATAGTGATATATTATGCTGTCGTATTATAACTACTTCTATAATGCTTATAAATAATAACTGGACTTCTCAAGTTCTAGTCTCTATCACTTTCTCATTAATTTCCAATAACAAAAATTGTAGACGACAGTGAGATGCTGTCATCTTAGGTCATAGTAAAAAGGTTATTTACAAAAACTATTCAAAGTGAGCTCCGTTATTCTGTAAGATATAGTACGACCTATTTTCAAATTCTCGAACTCTCTGCAACGTTTCCCTGGTAATTCTTCAGATATGCTACGTTTTTAGTTCTTGAAAATCTTTGGTAGGGGTTTTATAAACCAACGTTTTTTTAAATGTCTCTAATAAATTTATCTGCTTAGAATCTGACATGATTTCGACTACAGAAATTAACATGAAGGGATTATTGGACCTTATATTCTACCCTGCTAATCTGACAAAGTTTCAGTTTTTGAATTACAGGCATATTTGTGATGCAGACATGCATCTGCAATTGTGTCCCTATGCAAAAGCGTCCTAACTACAACATAAAGCACTTCTTTTTTAGATTCAGTTTCGTCCTATCAACCAAAAACAACATAATTATTAAGAATATTTATCCAATCTCCATTTACTAAATTTGTCCTAAGTATGCAATAAGACGTTCCAGTTTAGTAAATCTTAAAGGTATCAATTAAAATTATGAAGCAGGAAGTCCTATCGGTTTTATTATTCTCCTACGAGTTTACCTTTTCTCAGATTCCTAAGGATAACG